GAGAGGGTAAATATCCCTGAGAGAGGGGGTAAATATCCCTGAGAGAGGGATATATATCCCTGAGAGAAGGTAAATATCCCTGAGAGATGGGTAAATATCCCTCAGAGAGGGGGTAAATATCCCTGAGAGAGAGTAAATATCCCTGAGAGAGGGGGTAAATATCCCTGAGAGAGGGGGTAAATATCCCTGAGAGGGGTAAATATCCCTGAGTGATGGGTAAATATCCCTGAAAGAGGGGTAAATATCCCTGAAAGAGGGGTAAATGCCCTCAAAATAGGAATAAATATCCCAGAAAGTGGGTAAATACCCTGGGGAGAGGGGCAAAAACCTCAGAGATGGGGGTAAATACCCCAGAGAGAGGTTAGATACCCCAGAGATAGGGGTAAATACATCATAGAGGGTAAATTTCCCAGATATATGGGTAAATACTCCCAGAGAGATGGTAAATACTTCTAGCGAGAGGGTAAATACCCCAGAGGTAAGGGTAAATACCCTAGAGGGAGTTGGTAAATACTCCCAGAGGGGGTAAATACACCAGATATAGGTGTGAATACCCTGGAAAAAAGGGTGTTTTTCCCCAAAGGGAGGGAAAGTATCCCAGAGATAGGGGCAAATACCCCAGAGAGTAGTGGTAAGTACCCCAGAGTGAGGGTAAATACCCTAAAGATAGAGGTGTAAATATCCCCAGAGATAAGGAGAAGAATTAATATCCCCAGATATAGAGAAAGGGTGAATACCCCAGTGAAAGAGAGGTGTAATTACCCTGGGGTTAGAAAGAGGGGTAAATATACCCAGAGATAGAGAAAGGGGTAAATACCCACAGAGATAGAGAGAAGGGAAATAACCTGGAGATGAAGACAGAAGGGTAAATACCCCAGTGATAGATGTAAATACCCTCAGAGATGAGAGGGGTAAATACCCTCAGAGGTAGAGAGAGGGGTAAATACCCCAGAGATACGGAGGGATAAATACATCCAGAGATGGAGAGAGGGGAAATACTCCGGAGATAGAGAATGGTAAATACCTCTTATGGATAGAAAGAGAGGTGGGTAAAAATCCCCAGAAATAAGGAGGGATAAATACCCCCTTACGGATAGAGGGGAGTAAATACACCCAGTGATAGAGCAGGAGAGGGGTAAATACCTGTATTAGATCAAGAGAGGGGTAAATACCCCAGAGATAGAGAGTAGTTAATATCCCTAGAGATAAAGAAGGGTAAATAACCCTTACAAATAGAGGAGTAAATATTCCCAGATAAAGACGGGTAAATACTCCCTTAAAGATAGACGGGTGTAAATATACCTAGTGATAGAGCGGGAGAGGGGTCAATACACCCTTACAGATAGAGAGAGGGGTAAACATATAGATAGAGAGGGGTAAAACCCCTCCAGAGAAAGATAATAACCCCCAGCGACAGTCACCCAAGGCTGGAATCAAACCCTGGGACTGTGAGGCAGCAGTGATAACCACTGAGCCACCGTGCCATCCATACACTCCGAGATAGATTGAGGGGTAAGTTTTTTTTAAAATTTGTTTGTCGGATCTAGGTGTTGCTGGCTGGGCCAGCATTAATTCCTGTCTCTTGAGAAGGTGGTGCTGAGCTGCTTTTTTGAACTGCTGCAGTCCATGTGCTGTGGGCCCAAAATGCCCTTAGGGACGGAATTCCAGGATTTTGACTCAGTGACAATGAAGGAATGGCATTATATTTCAAAGTCAGGATGGTGAGTGGCTTGGAGGGAACTTGCACCTCTCTCTCCTTCCTCGACCTCTCTGTTTCCATCTCTGGCAACCACCTGGAAACCGATATCCATTTCGAGCCTACCAACTCCTACAGCTACCTAGAATACACCTCCTCTCACCCACCTTCCTGCAAAAATGTCATCCCCTATTCCCAATCCCTTTGCCTCCACTGCATCTGCTCCCGAGATGAGGCATTCCACTCCCGGACATCCCAGACGTCCTCGTTTTACAAGGACCGCAACTTTGCCTCCACAGTGGTCGAAAACGCCCTCGACCGCATCTCTAGCATTTCCCACAACTCATCCCTTGCACCTCCTCCCCGCAATAGCAACCAAAATAGAATCCCCCTCATCCTTACGTACCACCCCACCAACCTCCGGATCCAACACATCATCCTCCGGCACTTCCGCCACCTGCAATCTGACCCCATTACCAAAGACATTTTTCCCTCCCCACCCTTATCTGCTTTCCGGAGGGATCACTCTCTCCATGACTCCCTTGTCCGCTCCACACTCCCCACCAGCACCCCCGGCACTTTTCCCTGCAGCCGCAGGAAGTGCTACACCTGCCCCTACACCTCCCTCCTCACCCCCATCCCAGGCCCCAAGAAAACCTTCCACATCAAATAGATGTTCACCTGCACATCTGCTAATGTGGTAATACTGTATCCGTTGTTCCCGATGTGGCCTCCTCTACATCGGGGAAACCAAACGGAGGCTTGGAGATCGCTTTGTGGAACACCTACGCTCGGTTCGCAACAAACGACTGCACCTCCCAATTGCGAACCACTTCACCTCCCCCTCCCATTCCTCAGACGACATGTCCATCCTGGGCATCCTCCACTGCCACAGGATGCCACCCAAAGGTTGCAGGAACAGCACCTCATATTCCGCTTGGGAACCCTGCAGCCCAATGGTCTCAATGTGGACTTCACAAGCTTCAAAATCTCCCCGCCCCCAAATGCATCCCAAAACCAGCCCAGCTCGTCCCTGCCTCCCTGACCTGCCCGTCCTTTCTCCCACCTATCCACTCCTCCCACCTCAACCCCCACCCCCACCTCCTACCTACCACCCTCATCCACACCTCCTTGACCTGTCTGTCTTCCCTCTACTGACCAGCCCCCACCCTTACTCCCCCTACACTCACCTTTGCTGGCTCCATCCCTGCCTCCTTGACCTGTCCATCTCCTCTCCACCTATCTGCTCCTTTATCCATCTTCCATCCGCCTCCCCCTCTCTCTCTATTTATTTCAGAATCCCCTTCCCCTCTCCCATTTCTGAAGAAGGGTCCAGACACAAAACGTCAGCTTTCCTGCTCTTCTGATGCTGCTTGGCCTGCTGTGTTCATCCAGCTCTACACCTTGTTATCTTGCAAGTGGTGAGTTTCCTACCTGAGATAGAGAGACAGAGGTGGTAAATACCCCAATTGATAGAGAGAGGGCAAATGCCCCACAGAAAAAGAGCAGTAATTACCCCACCAGAAATGGAGAGAGAGAGGTCAATACCCCAGAGAGTGTGTGAGGGATAAATACCCCCTGAGATAGAAAGGCGTAAATATCCCCAGAGACAGGATAAGAAAAAACCTCAGAGATAGAAGGGGGTAAGTGCCTCCCATAGAGAGAGAGAGAGGAGGGCAAATGCCCCAGAGAAATTGAAATATGCAAGAGTTAGAGAGAGGGGTAAATATACTCCAGAGATGGAGGGATAAATGCCCCTTTTAAATACCGGAGAGATTACATAGAAGGGGCTAAACCCTTCTGACCCTTCTGGTCACCACACTATCAGAAGGATGCGGATGCTTTGGAGAGAGTACAGATAAGGTTTACCAGGATGTTGCTTGGTATGGGGGATTTTAGCTGTGAAGAAAGGTTGGAAAAACTGGGTTAGTTTTCACTGGAACACAGGAGGTTAAGGGGCGACCTAATAGAAGTTTATAAGATTGTGAATGGCTTGGGTAGAGTGGAAAGTATGAAGTTTTTTCCCAGGGTGGAGAGGTCAATTAATAGGGGACACAGGTTCAAGGTGCTGGGGTAGGGGGGAAGTTTAAAAGAGATGTGTGAGGCAATTTTTTCACACAAAGGGTGGTGAGTGCCTGGAACACGCTGTCAGAGGACGTGGTGGAAGCAGACGCAATAGCTGCATTCAAGAAGCACCTGGACGAATACATGAATAGGAAGGGAGTAGAGGAATACGGATCCTGTAAGTGAAGACAGTTTTAGTATGGAAGGGCAAAATGTGTCGGTGCAGGCCTTGAGGGCCGAAGGGCCTGCTCCTGTGCTGTATTGTTCTTTGTTCTTTCAAATACTTCCAGAGTTAGAGAGATAAAGAGAAAATACACTCCAGCAATAGAGAATGTGGTAACCAGCAGCCCCCTCAGAGATAGAAAGAGGGGTAAATACCCCAGAGATATTAAGAGAGGTATAAATATCCCGGAGATTGGAGAAGGAAGGGTAAATACACCAAAAATAAATGGGTAAATACACCTCAGAGATAGGGAGGGGGTAAATGCCCAAGAAGTAGAGGGGTAAATACTCAAGAGATTGGAGTGAGGAGTAAATACCCACCAGAGATAGATGGACTCAGCAAGAGAGAGGGGGGTTAATAACCCAGAGAGAAAGGTGGTAAATACCCCAGAAATAGAGATGTGTAAGTCCCCAAGAGAGAGAAGGGGTAAATAACCCAGAGATAGAGAAGCGGGTAAATACCCCAGAAATAAAGAGACCTGGGTTAAATACTCCGGATTTAGAGAGAATGATGAATACCCCAGAGATATCATCAGGTAACTATCCCAGAGATAGAGAAAAACAGAGGCAAATACTCCAAAGAGAAAGGAGCAAATACCCCAGACAGAGGCGTAAATACTCCGGAGAGAGATATAAGTTACCTAATGGTAGAAGTATCAATAGCCCATAGAGAGAGGGTGGCCTAAGTATTTTAGATGCAGAGAGAAAAATAGCGCAGATATAGAGAGGTGAATACCCCAGAGAAGCAGTGGAGTAAATAGTTTGAGATAAGGATGCGTAAATACCCCTGAGATATATGGGTGAATATTTCAAACTTAGAGACACAGGAATAAGTATGCCAGTGTTAGAGAGAGGGGTAAATTCTCCAGAGATAGAGACACATGGGAGAGTGTGGTAAATACCACAGAGAGAGTGAGAATGGTAAATACGGAGTGAGAATGGACAAAGAGGTAAATGTGCCAAAGATAGAGAGCATGGTAAATACTGCAGAGTTAGAGGTAAATACCCTTGAGAGAGATGGGATTAATACCCGAGAGAGGAAAGAGTAAATACTGCAGAGATAAAGAGAAAGGGAGATACCTAAGAGGATCATTTAAATACCCCAGAGAGAGTGTGGTATATACTGCCGTGATAGAGAGGGTAAATATCCTTGAGAGACAGGGGTAATACCCCAGAGATAGTGAGAAGGGTAAATAACCCCAACATGCTGAGGTAAATACCCCAGAAATACGCCAGTGATAGAAAGAGAGGAGTAAATACCTAAAGAGAGAGAGAGGACAGGGGTCATACCCAAGGCACCGAGACAGAGTGGTGGTAATACCTGGAGGGGGCAGGGGGGGCATTGTGAGAGAGAGGAGAGGGAGGAGGGGACAATACCTGCTGTAGCGGGGGGGGAGAGACAGAGAGGAGGGAGGTAATATCTGGGGTGGGGAAAGAGAGAAAATGAGGAGCTTTTATCTGGGACCTGGGGGAGGCGAAAGAGAGAGAGAGGAGAGTTAATACCCAGGGTAGAGAGAGGTAGTGGTAAGAAATGGAGTGAGTGGTTAGAGAGAGAGAGATGGTGGTAATACCTGGGGAGGGAGAGGAAGGGTAGCGAAAGAGAGGAAAGAAGGGCAATGCAAAAGGGAGAGAGAGAGACAGGGGAAATAGAAGCATGAGAGAGAAATAGGAGGGGGGCAATTCTTGGGGGTATGGTAGAGGAAATGGTTTTGCAAGGCTTAAGAGGTGCCTGGGGAACAGTGGGGGGAGGGTCTTACCCCAGGGCTGGTGTGATGATGGGGCATAATCCATGGAATGAATGCAGTATACTTGGAGGAAAGAGTGAGGGGCAATATCCAGGGAGTGGGGGAAATACCCAAGGAGATAATGCTCGGGACCTGGGCTGGGGTGAACAATACTGGGGAAGAGGGAAGGGGGTGGTTGTGTGTGTGCATGCATGTGTGTGCGTGTGCGTGTGCGCACACGTCAGTACTCACAGGGACAGTATGAGGGGGCAATACCCAAGGGCAGTCAAACAAAACAGAAATTGCTGGAGAAACCAAGTCTGGCAACATCTAAAACAAAGAACATTACAAAACAGGAGCAGGCCCTTTGGACCACAAAGCCAACACAACGCCTTTCTAAATTAATAACCTTTTGCCTCTATGCCCCTGCCTATTCATGTATGTATCAACATACCTCTTAAGCATTGGATCAAATTATATCTGCCATTATCTCCAACCAAGTCTACAGCCTTATATCCTACTGTATCCTTTTAGAATCCTCCTCACTATCTGCAGCTCCCCCAATCTTAGTGTCATTTGCAAACTTACTAATCAGACATCTACATTCTCCTCCAAATCATTTGTATTACAAACAGCAGGGGTCCCAGCATTGATTCTTGCAAAACAGCACTAGTCACAGTTCTCCAGTCACAAAGTAAACATTCCTCTGCTACTCTCTAACCAAGCGAGTTCTGTATCTTTCTTACTAGCTCACCATGGATCCCATATGACTTCACCTTCTGTGTAAGTCTGCCATGAGGGACCTTGTCAAAGGCATTGTTAAAGTCCATATAGACAAATTCCACTACTCTGCCCTCATTAATCATCTTTATCACTTCCTCAAAAAACTCAATCAAGTTTGCGAGACATGACCTTCTCTGCGCAAAGCCATGTCATTTATTGCTAATAAGTCCATATTTTTCCAAATGTGAGTAAATCTTATCCCTAAGAACCTTCTCCAATAACTTCCCTACCACTGACATTTGGCTCACTGGCCCGTAACTTCCAAGATTATTCCTGTTGTCCTTCTTAAACAAAGGAACGACTTTCGCCAATTTTCAATCCTCTGGCACCTCTCCTGTGATTAAAGAAAATATAAAGATTTCACACAAGGCCCCAGCAATTTCCTCCCTTGCCTCCTTCAGAATTCTGGGATAGTTCTGACATGCCACAGCGAAAAACCATAACAACCTCCTCAGAAGACAGACACAGGACATGACCAATAGGGTTCTTTATTCTTTATTCATTCATGGGATGAGGGCGTCACTGACTAGGCAGCATTTGTTGCCCATCCCTAATTGACCAGAGGGCAGTTAAGAGTCAACCACATTGCTGTGGGTCTGGAGTCACATGAAGGCCAGGCCAGGTAAGGATGACAGTTTCCTCCCTGAAGGACATGAGTGAACCAGATGGGTTTTTCCTGACAATTGACAATGGATTCACAGTCATCATTAGACTCTTAATTCCAGATATTTTATTGAATTCAAATTCCACCATCTGCCATGGCATGATTTGAATCTGGGTCCCCGGAACATTATCTGGGTCTCTGGATTAACGGTCCAGCAATAATACCACTAGGCCGTTGCCAAGGGTACCCTTTGTCGTCCAGTACTTCTCTAGAGCGGAGAAACTACACCATGTTCTTTGGAGCCTTCAACATGTCGTCGATGACGACGAACATCTCACCAAGATCATCCTCCACCTCCAATTCTCACTTGCCAAACCTTAAACAGACCATTGTTCGCAGCGAACTACTCGGCCTTCAGTGACCACAACACCACACAATCCTGCCACGGCAACCTCTGCAAGACAGGCCAGATCATCGACATGGACACTACCATCACACGTGGGAACGCCACCCAGCATGTACACAGCAAATATTAATGTGACTTGGCCAATGTTGTCTACCTTATAGACTGCAGGGCAAGGAGACCATGCAGACATTATAACAAGGGATGAATGGACACCGTGCAACAATTGCCAGACAAGAATGTTCCCTTGCAGTCAGGAAACACTTCAGTGGACAAGGACATTCAGCGCCCTCCAAGGCGGCCTTCAAGATACACAACAATGCAGAATCGCCAGACAGAGACTGACAACCAAGTTCTGTACCCATGAAGATGGCTTCAACCATGATCTTGGGGTCATGTCACACTTCATGTAACCCCACCATACTTTTGTATTTGTAAAATCCTTCTTACTGTCCTGTTTTGACACCATCTTCTTGATAACTTGTTATGATCGCTCTACCTTAAATAGTTTCTACAGTTTTGGATTACTTGTTACTTTGGTTAGACCCTCTACATGTAACTCGTACCTGTCATGTTATTCCATCATTCGGTTTGTCTCCGGCGCCACCTCATATTTAATTTTTTGTAATTATCTCTCTGCCTCAATTAATCAGATTATAGGTCATCCCTTCACTTGTTATTCAGCCATTAACACTTTACTCACACCATCTGACACTCTTGATGACCTGCAGAGACTTATTATTCAGCCCATCTACACTTCTCTCACCATTTGTATGATTTTTGATCTCTCTGATTATAAATTCTGTACCTGTGTGTCTCCTCCTCATTTCACTTGATAAAGGAGCAGCGTTCCAAAAGCTTGTAATTTCAAATGAACCTGTTGGACTATAACCTGGTGTCGTGTGACTTCTGATTTTGTCCAGTCCAGCCCCAGCACCTCCATATCATAGCAACCGGAACTGCACATAGTAGTGTGCAGCCAAAGACTTGTACAGCTCTCGCATGACCTCTCTACTCTGCAATGACACGGGGATAGCAAGCCAAACCAAATCAGCCTCACATCACTGGATTCATAACACCAGCAGGAACCTGTACCAACCTGTAGGACTCTCTCTGTCTCTCAGCTACAGAGAACAGTAACCTTCTAACTATACTGCTATCTACTACAATTGCATTGCTATTTAATACAATTTCCCCAGCTTGAATAAAGTGCTATGACCAGTTTGCTCATCTGTCCTGCAAACCCTCCCTAAGGGCATTTTGGGTCTACCTATAGCACATGGACTGCAGCGGCTTAAGAAAACAGCTCACCACCACCTTCTGAAGGGCAACTGGGATAGGTGATAAATGCTGGTCAATCCAACAAGACTCACATTCCACAATTGTTTATAAAAAAAAGTGCTTTCGTTCGCACAATTTGCAAGAACATAAAAGGCAAATGCGCCAATAAGGAAGGCAAATTATTTCAAGGGCAAGGAATATAAAAATATAGTTTTGCTAAACCTATACAAGGCACTAGAGTCATACAGCAAGGAAATTGGCCTTTTGGTCCAACCTGTCCATGCTGACCAGGTTTCCTAAACTGAAGTAGTCCCATTTGCTTGTGCTTGGCCCTGACCATCTAAGCCTTTCCTATTCATGTACCTGAGCAAATGTCTTTTAAATGTTGTACCCATCTCTACCCCTTCCTCTGACAGCTTGTTCCATATACTCATCACCCTCTGCGTGAAAACATGGCCCTCCCCCTCAGGTCCCTGTTAAATCTTTCCCCTCTCACTTTAAACCTATGACGTCTAGTTTTGGACTCACAGCTGGAACACTGAGAATAGTATTGGATCCCATGCTTAAGGAATGATATTCATTAGAGACAATCCAGAGAAAGTTCACTAGACTGATGTCACGTATGGAAGGACTGTCAGAAAGGTTGTTTCTCCTTGTGGAAGAGTATAGGACCAGAGGGAGTAATCTCAGAATAAGGGGTCACATATTTAAGACAGAGATGAAGAGGAGTTTCTTCTCTCAGAGCGGAGTGAACGTGTGGAATTCTTTACCAGAGTGGGCTGTTGAGACTGGGTCATTCAGTATATTCAAGGCTGAGAGAGATTGTTAATCGGTAAGGGAATCAAAGGTTATGGGCAAAAGCAGGAAAGTGGAGGTGAGGATTATCAGCCATGATCTCACTGAATAAATGTAACATTTCTGTGCACTAAGCAACTGATGTGCGAGGACATTTAAGTATTCATACAGTCTTTTAATATATGTTTTGCTTCTTTTGAACACAGGGAACCATGTCACGTTCCGCGGCACAGAGGTCTCGGCTAGAGAAAGGCCGAACTGTATCAGCAGCTGTGAGCACTCCAGCATCTGTGGTAGAAATTATACCTGGTCGCTTCACGGAAAATGACTGGCTCTCTATGGTTAGCACCGAAGATGCCGAGAGTCAAATTGGGGATATCATCGATGACATTGTGAATCAAGTATTGGATGGTTGTTACAGAGTATACATTGAAAAACAGGTAAGGCTGATGGATGCAGGGCTAGTGCAGGCCACAGTATTACTGAGCCCAATGGATAGTCCCTATGGCACTATCTGGGAGGTGCAGGACAGTGTTGAGGGAGTTGGTGATATGGGGGGCGGTGACGGTAGTGGTGGTTTGGTGTTGGGAGGAACCCAGTGATTGTCAAGGGAATGGGGATGGTCCCAGTGACTGTCTGGGGAGAGGGGCACAGGGAATTTGGAAGGTGGTTCGGTTCCAGTGCGACCTTCTTGTCCCGCTGCCCATTCACAAGTACCCCTGGCATCCACACTTCTTCTCATTGCCTTGTCCTTTCCTCAGCTGCTGCCATTCACCATCTCTCAGGCCAAGGATGCCATCCTGCAGATTATCGAGTGGCAGTTCCTGACATACGATCCAGGAGAGAGAAACGTGGCACTGGATCCATCCTGGCAGGAAGATGACGAACCCATTGCTTATATCACCGATTCCTGGGCCCAGGGCTCAGTACCAGTGGTGAGGAAAACATCAACACCAACTCGGGCGGAACAGGTAGAATAGACCCAGATCAAAGTTGCTGTTCAACAACAATTATATCGTAGTTATGTTCCTGAACTAGCAATGCAAAGATTATCAGTAAACATGAGCATGGAATTGTTGGGTTGTTGAAACCCAACTGGTTCATTGATATCTTTTGATATAAGAATCTCGTGGCTGAAATCTTTACCTGGTCTGGGTCCAGTCCCATAACTGTTGGTTTAATTTTTCTGAAGAAGGATCTAGGCCCGAAACGTCAGCTTTCCTGCTCCTCTGATGCTGCTTGGCCTGCTATGTTCATCCAGCTCTACACCTTGTTATCACTGTTGGTTTAATCTTTACTTTTCTCAGAAATGTTCCTGCAAGGGGCTTGCTTGTATGCCTCTCTCCTTCTCTCTTTAATGTTCCTGCTCCAACTTTTGAAGATTGCTGAGCTGGTTTTGTATAATGCAGGTTGCCTAATGTGCACACTCTCTCTCATTGCAGGCTCAGCTCAGCATATCTGCCTGCCATTGCTTTTGAAAGACAATGGTCTGGCATAAGGTTTGATTTAACAGTGAGGGCACCACTAATCTCAAAAGCCCAGCTCCAATTATGCAGTTTCCCCTGTTCTTCTGAGCATGTAGCCTGTGACCTCCCCTTAGTACAAAGAACAAAGAAAATTACAGCACAGGAACAGGCCCTTCGACCCTCCAAGCCTGCGCCGATCCACATCCTCTATCTAAACCTGTCGCCTATTTTCCAAGGATCTGTATCCCTCTGCTCCCTGCCCATTCATATATCTGTGTAGATACATCTTAAATGACGCTATCGTGCCTGCCTCTACCACTTCTGCTGGCAACGCGTCCAGGCACCCACCACCCTCTGCGTAAAGAACTTTCCACGCATATCTCCCTTAAACTTTTCCCCTCTCACCTTGAAATCATGACCCCTAGTAATTAAGTCCCCCACTCTGAGAAAAAGCTTCTTGCTATCCACCCTGTCTATACCTCTCATGATTTTGTAGACCTCAATCAGGTCCCCCCTCAACTTCCATCTTTCGAATGTAAATAATCCTAATCTACTCAACCTTTCTTCATAGCTCACGCCCTCCATACCAGGCAACATCCTGGTGAACCTCCTCTGCACCCTCTCCAAAGCATCCGCATCCTTTTGGTAAAATGGCGACCAGAACTGTACACAGTATTCCAAATGTGGTCAAACCAAAGTCATATACAACTGTAACATAACCTGCCAACTCTTGTACTCAATATCCCGTCCGATGAATGAAAGCATGCCATATGCCTTCTTGACCACTCTATCGACCTGCGTTGCCACCTTCAGGGTACAATGGACCTGAACACCCAGATCTCTCTGTGCATCAATTTTCCCCAGGGCTTTTCCATTTACCGTATAGTTCGCTCTTGAATTGGATCTTCCAAAATGCATCACCTCTCATTTGCCTGGATTGAACTCCATCTGCCATTTTTCTCTGACAGTCCCCTTCACTATCTGCTACTCCACCAATCTTAGTGTCATCTGCAAACTTGCTAATCAGACCATCTATACCTTCCTCCAGATCATCTATGCATATCACAAACAACAGTGGGCCCAACACGGATCCCTGTGGAACACCACTGGTCACAGTTCTCCATTTTGAGAAACTCCCTTCCACTACAACTCTCTGTCTCCTGTTGCCCAGCCAGTTCTCTATCCATCTAGCTAGTACACCCTGGACCCCATGCGACTTCACTTTCTCCATCAGCCTACAATGGGAAACCTTATCAAACGCCTTACTGAAGTCCATGTATATGATATCTACAGCCCTTCCCTCATCTATCAACTTTGTCAATTCCTCAAAGAATTCTATCAAGTTGGTAAGACATGACCTTCCCTGCACAAAACCATGCTGCCTATCACTAATAAGCCCATTTTCTTCCAAATGTAAATAGATCTTATCCCTCAGTATCTTCTCCAGCAGCTTCCCCACCACTGACATCAGGCTCACCGGTCTATAATTACCTGGATTATCCTTGCTACCCTTCTTAAACAAGGGGACAACATTAGCAATTCTCCACTCCTCCGGGACCTCACCCGTGCTCAAGGGTGCTGCAAAGATATCTGTTAAGGCCCCAGCTATTTCCTCTCTCGCTTCCCTCAGTAACCTGGGATAGATCCCATCCAGACCTGGGGACTTGTCCACCCTAATACCTTTTAGAATACCTAACACTTCCCCCCTCCTTATGCTGACTTGACCTAGAGTAATCAAACATCTATCCCTAAACTCAACATCCGTCATGTCCCTCTCCTCGGTGAATACTGACGCAAAGTACTCATTAAGAATCTCACTCATTTTCTCTGACTCCTCGCATAACTTCCCTCCTTTGTCCTTGAGTGGGCCAACCCTTTCTCTAGTTACCCTCTTGCTCCTTATGTACAAATAAAAGGCTTTGGGATTTTCCTTAATCCTGTTTGCTAAAGATATTTCATGACCCCTTTTAGCCCTCTTAATTCCTCGTTTCAGATTGGTCCTACTTTCCCGATATTCTTCCAAAGCTTCGTCTGTTTTTCAGTCGCCTCGACCTTATGTATGCTTCCTTTTTCCCATTTGCTAGTCTCGTAATTTCACCTGTCTTCCATGATTCCCTAATCTTGCCCTTTCTATCCCTCATTTTCACAGGGACATGTCTGTCCTGCACTCTAATCAACCTCTCTTTAAAAGCCTCCCACATATCAAATGTGGATTTACCCTCAAATAGCTGCTCCCAATCCACATTCCCTAGCTCCTGCCAAATTTTGCTATAGTTGGCCTTCCCCCCAATTCAGCACTCTTCCTTTAGGACCACTCTTGTCTTTGTCCATCAGTATTCTAAAACTTACGGAATTGTGATCACTATTCCCAAAGTAATCCCCTATTGAAACTTCAACCGCCTGGCTGGGTTCATTCCCCAACACCAGGTCCAGTATGGCCCTTTCCCGAGTTGGACTACTTACATACTGCTCTGGAAAACCCTCCTGGATGCTCCTTACAAATTCTGCTCCATCTAAACCCCTAACACTAAGTGAATCCCAATCAATGTTGGGAAAATTAAAATCTCCCATCACCACCACCCTGTTGCTCCTACATCTTTCCATAATCTGTCTCCACATTTGTACCTCTATCTCACGCTCACTGTTGGGAGGCCTGTAGAACAGCCCCAACATTGTTACCACACTCTTCCTATTTCTGAGCTCTGCCCATATTGCCTCACTGCTCGAGTCCTCCATACTGCCCTCCTTCAGCACAGCTGTGATATCCTCTTTGACCAGTAATGCAACTCCTCCACCTCTTTTACCTCCCTCTCTATCCCGCCTGAAGCATCTATATCCTGGGATATTTAGTTGCCAATCTTCCCCTCCCCTCAACCAAGTCTCAGTAATAGCAATAACATCATACTCCCAGGTACTAATCCAAGAACTAAGTTCATCTGCCTTACCTACTACACTTCTCGCATTAAAACAAATGCACCTCAGACCACCTATCCCTTTGTGTTCATCATCTGCTCTCTGCCTACTCTTCCCCTTAGTCACACTGACTTCATTATCTAGTTCCTTACAGGCTTTAGTTACTACCTCCTTACTGTCCACTATCCTCCTCATTGGTTCCCATCCCCCTGCCACATTAGTTTAAACCCTCACCAACAGCGTTAGCAAAAGCAGCCCCTCGGACATTGGTTCCAGTCCTGCCCAGGTGTAGACCATCCGATTTTATTATGAACTGGGACAGTTATAGAGTCATAGAGGTGTATAGCAAGAAAACTGACCCTTTGGTCCAACTCATCCATGCCGACCAGATATCCTAAATCCCATGTCCCATTTGCCAGCATTTGGCCCATATCTCTCTAAATCCTTCCTATTCATGTACTCATCCACATGCTTTTTAAATGTACTAATTGTACCAGCCTCCACCACTTCCTCTGGCAGCTCACAAAGTGCGGTCTGACCCATCCTCTGTGATTCATCAGTTGCCCACTCTCAGCAATATTAACCTCACCCTCTGTGACCCCCTGCCCCAATTCTCCATGACCCCTTCTCTCCACCCTCAGCAAACTCTGCTTCTAACCTTTGAGACCCCGCACCCTGAATGCTCCCCGTGACTCCCTCCACTCTCCCTGAGACTCCCTCTACTCTCATCGTGACTCCCTCTGCTCTTCCCATGACTCCCTCAATGAGGGAGGGGAAATATTCACTGTGCCAAGCCAAAACTCCCTCAGTACTGACCCTATAACAGTGCAATGCACCCTCAGTTCTGACATGTTGATTGTTGGGCGCGCCCACAATACTGACCCTCTGACAGAGGAACACTCCCTCAGTTCTTGTGCTTATGCATTGCAGCGCTGCCCCAGTCCTGACCATCTGACAGTTAAGCGCTCCCTTAGTACTGGTCCTCTGACACAGCATTGCTCCTCCAGTATTGATCATTTGACAGTGTATCACTCCTTCAGTACTGACCCTCTAACAGTGCTTTGCTCCCTCAGTACTGACCCCCTGACAGTGCAGGACTCCCTCAGCTTTGAACTTCCAATAATGCAGCATTCCTTCAATATTGACTCTCTGACAGTGCAGCTTTCCCTCAATCCTGACCCTCCAACAGTTTGGCATTCCCTCAGTGCTGACCCTCTAACAGTGCAGTGCTCCCTCAGAACTGACTCTCTGACAGTGCAACACCACCACCTCCAGCGGAACACCACCACCTCCAAGTTCCCCTCCAAGCCACTCACCATCCTGACTTGGAAATATATCGCCGTTCTTTCACTGTTGCTGGGTCAAAATCCTGGAATTCCTTCCCTAATGGCATTGTGAGTCAACCTACAGCACACGGACAGTGGTTCAAGAAGGCAGCTCACCACCACCTTCTCAAGGGCAACTAGGGATGGGCGAAAAAGGCTGGCCAGCCAGCGATGCCCATACCCCACAGATGAATAGTAAAAAAACCTCCTCAGTTCTGACCCTCTGATAGTGCAGCACTCCCTCAGTACTGACCCTGTGACAGTGCAGCACTAATGCTCCCTCACTACTGATGCTGTGACAGTGCGGCCCTCCATCAGTACTGACCCTGTGACAGTGCGGTGCCTCCTCAGCACTGACCCTCTGACAGTGCAGCACTCCCTCAGTACTGACTGTCTAACAGGTGTGGCACTCCCTCAGTACTGACCCTGTGACAGTGCGGCACTCCCTCAGTACTGACCCTGTGACAGTGCAGCACTCCCTCAGTACTGACCCTATGACAGTGCAGCACTCCTTCAGTACTGTTCCTCTGACAGTGCAATGCTCCCTCACTGCTGACACTGTGACAGTGCGGCACTCCCTCAGTACTGACCCTCTGACAGTGTGGCGCTCCCTCAGGACTGACCCTCCAATTGTGCAGCACTACCTCAGTACTGACCCTGTGACAGTGCATCACTGCCTCAGTACTGACCCTGTGACAGTGCATCATTGCCTCAGTACTGACCCTGTGACAGTGCATCATTGCCTCAGTAC